CAGTACTCCATCAAGATTTCTGTAGTGCTTTCTAGCACTTCAACACTTTTATATTTGGATTGACAATCAAATGCGAATGCTTATTGCTTCTTTTGTTTTTGGAGAAAAATGGGTATCTTGTAGCAGATGTCTGGCTTGAGTTCTTGAAATATTTTACATGGAAGCAAAAGTTACCTAGATGTAGAGCAAGACATGTTCTTGAACAGCATTAAAATAATAAAGTGTGTTTTTTCTTTAAAATTGGGAGTCACTATTTGTGTTCTATGGTCGCTCTTTTGTGTAATTTAGAAGTAGCACCTGATATTGTGCATTTGATGAGCCATTGCAACCAAAGTGCTGAATAAAGTAAGACCAGAAGTTGTGGTGGGCTTGCAGTCGGTGATGGAGAAATTGCAGAGCTGCCTTCTTCCAGGTTTCCTTTCAAATCTATACCATTGTTACTGATGAATAAGTGGTGTTGCTGCTCTGTGTTTGGTTGTCTATGAAATTAATTTAGCCTAGGTCTCTGCGTTTGAGCATTTACACCTTAGAAATTGCCATTACTGATTGATTGCCTTGCTGATAGTCTTAGCAGAGAGACCAAGGATTGATGAGGTCTGGAGATTGACTTACCTGCTTAACTCCACAAGTTAGAGTTCCAATGAGGAGTATGTAATCTGGAAATTTATTGTGGTGTCTTCACATAGGTTTAGGGCATGTGAATGAGATATTATGCTTATGTCACGATCATGATGTTCTCGTTCCATGGCCTGGGAACAGCCTCTGCTTCCAGCCATGTCAGTGCAGTCATTTCTAGCAGTACAAAATTCACATTGATTAGTGTTTCATATCTGTGTTGAATGTACATAATTGCCATACAGCAGAGCAAGAACTGTTTTTCTTTAAATAGTAGACTGCGCAAGGACTGTAATAGCAGACTGTGCTGGTCTGAGTCTTCATAATAACACATTTTTTCAAGGGCATACACACTCTAGTTTCCATCTGCTTTTAAGTTTGTTGCAATTGTCTTTTGTGTGAGTGGGTTTTCTTGCCTTTAAGGCTAGATAGCCTTCTAGATAGAAGAGGTCATTTAGAGCTCTAGTCAGCCTCTGTCTCTGCAGACAATTTCTATAATGCTGTGCTGCTTTTGCCTGCCTTTCCTTTTCTTTGTTTTTCTTTTCTGTGCTGTGTTTATTTATTTAGTACTTCACTAGACTCAGGATCCAAATGGTGGCTTCTGTGGTATGCTAAAATCCATTCTCAATTAACCAGTGGCCCAAGTACAGCCCTAAGACCTCTCAAACCATTGCTTTTGTAGGTTTACATTTTCTTTCCTCTTCCCCACCTCGCACAGTCCCTTTTCTATCCCCACTAGTGTGCTGACTGCTTCTTTTCTGTGGTCATAGAGGTAGCAGAGTATCTTGAAATACACAGTGGATAAGGCATTACAAGAAGTAATTCTTCAGCAATTGCAATGATCCTCTCGTCGTTCTCTGGTTGTACCACTTAGATTCCATTTAAATCTCCTATAGGGTATGAGGACCAATAGGTAATTCCCACGCCTGAAATTCTTTTGCTATAACACCATAATAAAACTAGTACACAAGTTGGTATGTTTTGTTTCCAATTGTGTTAATCTTTGAAAGTGGTAGGAAATAGAGGTTTCTTGGTCTTGGAATGGAGATATGTGAGCATTTAAGCTTTTTCCCAGTGACCACAGTGAAGTGACTTTTTCTTTTGCATGATGCGGTCAAAGTCCTGACAATACCAGTTATATTGGTCATTCTGTATTTCACCTAATCTCTGTACAATTGTAACAATCTAGTTAATTACATGGGAATTGAGAGGAAGGTTTTCTCTCAATTCTGAGTACATAGCCTGGTAATTTGGGGAACTGTTTGAAAAATAAAGCAATACAATGGTTATGCTATTTGAATAAAAAATTTAATATCAAAGCTTTGTTTCTATTCAGTCAATATTGTTACTAAGGAACCACTAATTACTGTGTATCATGTTAGAGGGGGCCCTGACAAATCCATGCAAATCATGTGATTTATAATTCATAAATCCCCAATCCCCTGAGAAATGTTGCTCTTGCACTTACACTAATTGAGTACTTATGTTCATTGATCCAGTCCATATCGCACCTTTAGTCCATATGGCAGCCTTTATTGTAGGGCCGGAAACTTCTGTTGTCAAATGTCTCCTGTTGTCGATGGCACTATACTGTTCCCAAAATCTGCTTACTCGGCTCTTTGCTGCATAATCTTTCAGTTTGTCAGCAGTCAATTCTGCCCAAATCAGAGCAATATGGATGTCTGTCTCCCCCTGGCTGGAGAGGTACAAAGTCTGCATGGTCCAGCATTGCCTCTTGGGGATGGGACTGCAGTGGTTAATTGATGTTACTAGTAAGCTGGTTGTTCTAGAGTAGCTATATAGTATGCTGGCTTACACTGGTACTAGTATGCATTTGTCCCAGCAGCTGCTCTCAAAAATGGCTCACTTGTAAGAATTAGACAACACAGGTGTTTATTTTTGGCTGTGCAGGTTTTTGTTGGATGTTTTTCTATGTGTAGAGAGTAGATTTTTTTTTTTTTTTACCTCATAATACAGTGGCTGCCAATAGTTATAAATACCCCAATACACGTTCTGATAGTTAATACGTTGTTCTTTGTGAAGAATCAGCGCACTGGTGAAGGAGATGGAATACTATGCAAATTTCGTATGCCGAACTGAAAATAATGTATCTTTAGTCCCCTACTTTTATGTTTCAGGGTAATTCTTTGTGCCTGATCATTGTTACATATTTTTCTAATAATTTTAGCATAGTTTTGTAATGTAGTATAATTGTAATTGCTATCCAGAAGAATGGCATCACTTAATTCTATCAAAACTGTAGAAAGATAGATGAATGACAAATTAATAATTTACCATCTTTGCATAATACTGTAGCACAGAATACCAGAAGGATTGATGGCAGAAGAGGTTAACAAATTTTAGCGGCTTCCATTAGCTTTTCATTGTCATATGTTTGTGGTGCCGACTGAAATAAGCTTTGTAGGAGATCTCAGTCTAGGGAACTAATTACTTGTGCCGATTGCCATACTGATGAATAGACCCTCATTGTATCATTCCCCTGAAGACGAGGAGCAGTCTGTGATTCACGACTGCATCCTGGCTGATATTTGATAATAATTTTAACAGATAAATGTAGGAAGGCAGAATGATGAAGTGCCTATCCATGCTCTACGACTATCAAAGGCATGCACATAGCCAGCTGTGTTCTGCCTTTTTTCTATAATCACTAATGGAGAATTTTAAGTTATTAATCGACCTTTGAATAAACCCATATCTTTCTGTGTTTTATAATTTTTCTTTGGTTAATTATTCCAAAATCATTGGATTCTATAATCAAAGCATTCACATTTCAGCATGATTGTAACACACTCAAAGTGTGAAAATAAGATACTGGGGCATTTGAATCCAATACTTCAGTATTTTTCTGAAAGTAAGAAATCAGGAAGATGAAGAACAGCACTGCCTTTTCTTTGGTGTTAGAAAAAGGCATAGAATTTTAATGAAGGGAGATGCAGAATGTCATCTTTTTTATAAGATTATTTTCAGTCACTATTTTTAATGTCTACAAATTCTGTTTGAGAGTAGAGTTATGCAAATTATTCTGGCTTTTGTTACCATGTTTGAAACCTTGTTTTACTTTAAATAAAACTAATTTCTGCCTTTAGACCTCAAAACTAAGAATGTAGATACCAAGTATTTTTAATATGGTGATCTGTAAATTAGTTATGGCTATTCATTTGTCAGTGTTGACAGGTATACTTTCTATTAGCTCCTGGACCAGAAATGGAATATATATGCATTTACATCACTTGTTTTAATACTAGCTATGTTAACAAACAAAATCGGTGTTTTTTAATATTGGCATACAGGTTTTCGGGCTAGCATGGCTATTCTATGCTTCAGACATGTTCTGTTTGTTTATTTGCTATACCTGAAATTGGCATTTTTTGTACATTCTCTGGGCTAAAATACTGTTTTACAGTGGCATTCATTCATGATCATCTAACAAGATAGTAACTGGCACTTATATATGACCATATTAAAAAGATCTACGTATATTTGGAGCATACAATGGAAAACAATGAATTTGATATAACCTTTTCTAGATGTAATTTTTTAAAAGTATCCCTTCAATATAGCAATTATTACACATCAGAACATGTAGTTTTTAATTAAATGTAAAAACACAACTACATAAACCAGAAATCCAATCTGATTTGCTCGAAAATAGATTGCTGTTTCACTCTCCTGGAATGGTTTATTTAAAAACAGTAAATGGAAAAGAAATGCATTTTCTTGTGTTGTTCTAAGCCTCAGGGGCTAAATGTAATGAATATTTTAAGAGATTATTTTAATTAAATTCCTGCACATCTAAACAGAGTAATATTTTATTATCACATACATAACCATGTAACTGAGGTATTCATTAAAGTTAACACTTTCTGGACCAAGAATTCATGGTATGATTTACTGACCTTGTGCAAAAAGGCACAAATTAGGAAGAAAAATGAAGGGGGACAGACTTTGATTAATATAGGTAATGCTATACCATATTTATAATAGCCTTTTCCCTATTCTGGTTTATAAATGCAGTCACTGAGAAAGGTGCCCTGCTGAGGCTGAAATGAGGCTGAAATCGGAGCACATGCCACTAGAGTGTGGGGAAACTGATCACACTGTCAGCAATTCATTTCAAAATGATGTATTTAGTGCTCATTTCACCTTCCAAGAAAAAAGGGAAAGGAGTTCCTTAGACTGGAAGGTGATATTGTTATTTTCAAGGACATACCTAAGTAAAAGATTGCAGAAAGGGGGGAGGTTAAAAAAAAAAAAGCAAAAAAAAAGCAAAAGCAGCGCAAACAAGGAGAGCTTTATGCAGAAATTCAGTGCTACCATGCTGTTTGATAATTGCTAACATATGTGGCTCCTCTGTTTCATTGTAGTCGTCCTCGTGAGTTCTGGCGCCTTGACTACTGGGAAGATGACTTGCGGCGCCGGCGACGATTTGTGCGTAACCCCCTTGGATCGACACATCCTGAAGCGACACTAAAAGCAGCCGGAGAACATGGTCAGTGTAAAATCTGCTTCTTGCCAATAGCAGCAGGTTACAGTACGTGGCAGTAAAGACTAGACCTTCATTCCTATGAGACGCTAGAAAATGGTCCCAAATGCCAAAGGCTTTTGTCATTGCATTTTAGACATGTTCAATACAAAGATAAACTGACCGTTACTTCATACAAGCAATGTGGGTATTTGTTAAGCCTCTTCATTACATCTTAGTTGAGCTGGCCTGGCATGTTGTGCGTACTTTGCATACGATGATTACAAATACAGTTCTCGCTAAGCAGAAGAAAAGTGGATGCAATTTTGCCATTAATCCCTGGACACACTTTCTTGCGGTAAATTACCTATTTATACTTCAGTAACTTCAGAAGAAGATCTTTCCTGTTCAGAAATCCACAACAATTATCTCCGTTAGCCTTAGCACATATCTGCCTATCGTTACAGATACATTAAAAGAAAAATAACACTTCTGAAGCTAAACCGTATTCAGACCTTTGCTTATGTTTAAGTAATCAAGTTTTTCTGCAAGAATTTGATATGGAAGAAATAGTAACAAATGCTGAAATGTAAAGTATTGTTCAAGCAGCAAATGGTAATGATAATTTCTACCTGGTGATTTTAAAAAAGAAGATTGCAATTTTTAAATTTTTTTTCCCCCATTTTATTGTCAGGGATCACTCCTCTACATGCTGCTGTGTCTGTTCTAGAGGGATGTATTTACAAAACCAATACTATAATCATTTTGAGAATTCTATAATAAACAAAAAAGATAAACAAACAAAAAAATCACCCAAAGCTAGGGGTGAACTTTGGGGTTTAGTCTAGAATTTCATGTCTTCGCGATCTAATGAAGATACATTGATAAGGTAGAAAAATCTTTCTTGTATTTAAAAATAATTTGTTTATAATTAAAGCTGTGTACCCTTCACCTTGAAGGTACATGTCATAGAATAGAATAATTTAAATTTAGGTCTTTTTTTTTTCTTTTTTACTCTGTGAATTACTGTATACATATATGCATACACACACACATATTATATGTGTAGGCATAAACTTCATGGTAATTTAAAATTATTAAGACTGTTGTATGAATATAGAAGAACATCAGTGTCGTAAAGTTAGTTTCCGTCAGGCATCTTAACCTCTTGCACTCAGCCTTAAAGAGCCATTTCTGGAAGAAAATGTCTACAATATGTCAGCTGATATAATGCCAAATGTGACATCAGTCCTCTAAAATAAATGACCGTACGGAGAATAGTCAATAAAGTGATCTGAAAGCAATGTTCGTAGAGCCCTACATCTTTGACTATAGAAAGAGGAACAAGATGTAGAATTAATTAACCTATTTTTTGCTTTGAGGCTTGTTGTTCTTAATACTGTGTGGTGTTTCTATGCCGTGGACTTTAAGGGCACAAGGTTTCTTTCTGTTTAATGCTCCATGGATAAACAACAACTGCCCTCCTTTAATATTATGTGTACTTTAAATTAAATAGATCTTGTCACTCTTTCATGTATTCTACTCATATTTTCATATTTAATCTTTATATTGTTTATCAAAATAATGAAAAATATCTTTATTTTTACTGCAAGATATTTAGAGTTCCTATCTATATTTGTGTAACTAATTCTTCCATAAGTAAACATACACTAATACAATTATTCATCTTTCATAGTAATGGGATATTTTCACTAATCCATGCTATATTTCAAGGGCTATGGCTCATACTCAGTTTGTAATTGACAGGAGTATAATTTTTGTCAATACAAAAGAAGAGTGAATAAAAGTAGCCGTATTTCATAGGTAGCTAATAGGCAAAGCTGGTAGCTAACCCTGGTAATTTAAATAGAGCTAATTGTTTTCTGTTCACCTTTCTGTTCAGAATTTGACATCCTTATCAGGTTCCTATTATATCTAATTTCTTGGTGGTGTTTTATTCTGACTTTAATTGCATACTTCATTTGTTATCTGTTGTCATTCTGTTTCTTTATCCAGTGAATATTCTAGTTTACCTTAAGTAATTGTTTAATGTGATTTTTGAAAATATATATAATTAGTATTGGTGTAACTGAGTGTGCGTACGTATGCAACTGTCTTGTTCCCAGACCATCCACTGGCAAGTTGTAAGACAGATGGCCAAAGTACAAATTCAAGTTCAACTGGTAACTGTATATAATGTATAGGAATACAAAGGTTGTTGGATGTTTTTATGGTTTTGTTTTGGGGTTGGGTTTTTTTTGGTGTGGTGGTGGGGTTTTCTCATTGTTTTGGTTTGTTTTTTTAAATCTCAGAAGGTACAGTTGTCAGAAAGGTCAACTGGAGTGGTCACTTGATCTATAAACTTTTAATATTAACCAATTTCAGGTTAGAAAATTCCATTATTTTCAGATTTTTGGAGCCAGACTTTCAGACCCTGTTTTCATGATGTAGATATCCTTAGAATTTGCAGAACATTTGCCCTGGTATTTTATGATTTCTTATCAATAATTTATCATTAATTATTCTATTTCAATTAATTTTACATGTCTCTGAAGCAAAAGCATTTTTAAATAATGAATAAAAGGTTCCCTACTGCCTATTTAAGCTTTTGTCAAAACAAAACAGAGCAAAACCAAAACCTGAAATTGGGCATAAGGGATTTTGCCAAAAGGGAGACAGGGGAAAATAATGCATAAATAATGGAAAAGTGCTATTGCAGTAACCATGCTTGAAAGCATGGATTTTAGCACACTTTTCCTTAGTAGATGCACATTATCAACTGCTCGGTGTCTTTCAAATAAAACCAGATATATTTTCCACCCCAGAAAGCTCACGGTCTAGGAAAGATCACAGTTTGCAACTGTGAAAATTACTCAGAAACAATCGGAAGCCTAGATATTGTTCAGTAAAACCTAGGAGAACAACAACAACAACAATCAGCTCTGTTGCAGCCTAGTTATGTGTCTTAGTAGCAAGAACCAATCTTTTCCAGGGATTGATTTGATTTGAAGGAGAACCTCTGGTGCAGAGGTGGCAGAATAAATACCTGAAGACTAATGTTCTCTGTTCAGACAATCAATACCAGCCCCATGACTATACTTCTGGCTACCTTCTAGTTAAAAACAAATTTTTTAATTCTGACAATTTAATTGCCATTCCCTAGTTCACATTAACTTGCTTGGGAAAAAAAGGCTTTAGGTAATTTTTCAAAGGGGGCGGAGGGGGAAGTCCTTCCAAAATGGCTATTTATAAAAGTCAGTCTAGTAGTGTATAGTGGGGGAAGGAAAAAGAGGTGAAGGTAGAAAAAGTTTGGGATGGAAAGAGTTAACTCTTTTCTGTTCTCCCTTTCACCCATTGTTTAGATATGAAACCAAAATACTTATATAGGTGTGAAAGTGCAAAAACTGAGTACTTTAAACCTGGTGGTATTTTTAGATTGATCCCCAAATGCAATATTTTGTGAGAGAATCTTTAGCTACTAGAAAATACCTTATCAAGCTTTTTAACAAGTGATTTGTTTTTTTTTTTATTGACATTTGTTAAAAACTTGGGGAGAGGGGGATTAAAACAGTCTGTAGCATTTCCATCAAGGCAATAGGTAGAGTTCAGAGCTTTGTGACTGCAAAGGACTAGCAGCTGGTCACCTACAGTATTGCAATCGACTGGTCGGTTTTCTTTGCCTCAACTCTGGCAATGAAAAAGAAGTCTTAAAAATAATATTTAAAAAATCTGATGTGAAAGTGGTTGTGTTTTCCATTGTTATCTTTTTAAACAAATAGGAAGACTAGAGGAGGCTTCTGGGAGCCCTTTTTAAAAAAATAGATAGTAAGGGGGTTTTAATGCATCTTTTCCCTGAATTGCTTTTCCCCATATATTTACCAGACATTAAAAAAAAAAAAGTAATAGTAAGTGTCTTCTGTATCATGCTTTCCGATACTTTATTTTTCAAATGGCTTTTAAAAATTGTATTTCGCATGTAAGGTTAAGTTGTAGACAAACAATTTAAAATAATCTGTCGTTCTATGAATGCCTTAAGCTTGTTCAGCAACGAAAACTAAATTATTATTTTTACACCCAAGTGTTGCAGAGATTTAACTGGAATAAATAAGACTCTCTGCAGATGCAGAGATCTGTTTGCAAAAAGCTACTTGAAGGAACTGGGTCTTACAGAGCAGTTTGGGAAGGATTGCATGGAATTACACTGAAGAATTATAATAATGAAATTGCTGTGCTAGAGAAATACTCTGCCAGCAGGCTGTTATGTCCTGTGCAATACACAGGCCACGCTTTGAGATCTTCATCTTGAGAAGGTGTATGTGAATGTGTGCTTACATCTGCAGGATTGGAGCCAGAAGCTCCAGTCATGCCAAAAATAGGCAGGCCTGGCAGAGAGCAGTTTGGGTTAGCAGATGACAGAGCAGGGTTTGGGACCTGAAATATGAAATCCAGTGTAATATACCTATGCGCATACATGGGAACTGAATATGTCACATGATGTCATGTTCCATCCTATGTATCTCTAATCAGTAAATATAGAAAGAGAACTAGACTGTGGCCCACTTATGTAAGTGCGTTTATATACAGAAAATAGGTGAATCCACCTGGAATATATTCAGCTCTATACAGATACTCATGTGAGTGTGTGTGTTGGTTGCAGGTGTAGTGCTTTATTCAAGTCAGTAGAGAAGAAGCAGATTCTAGTTCAGAGTGTGATGTCTTATTGCCTTCCAGTAGCTAGTATCTGCAGATGTGTAGACAGGCTCTGCATCTTCCTGTGCCTGTGCGTACACACGTTTCATGCATGTCAGGAAATGTGGGTAACTAACATCATATGCAAAGGGATGACAAAAATTTACAAAAATGGACTAAAATCTTTTATTGAAAAAGGCAGTTACATAAGATGTATGTTTTTGAATGAGTATAATATCTTTAGTTGGGGAAAGAAAGAAAGAAAATCTGAGTAAGTGACAAAGATGAGGTAGGCGGTGTGTATTTCTGTTATCCAGCCATCTTTGGCGTGGAAGTTGCTGTACTGATTTTATTTTTTCTTGCTGGTAGATGAGAAGAAAGACTGAAGGACACACTAGTATTTTGGACAAGTTGTGCTAACTATAAAAGTATTAAGCTTTGATCTTGGCTCTCAATTCAGTCTTAAATAAGAGTAGGTAGAAGGCTAGTTTGAAATAGCATTTTCAGTATAACACAAATAGATTGTAGTAGAGGAAGGAAAAATGGCAGGTATGTATAATGCAGATGGGGTTTTTGAAACAACACATACAGTTTGCCTGTATTACCAAAAAAAAAAAAACCAAAACAAAAAAGAATTTATTATCCTTGACTTTATCCCTGGGATGGTTTTGTTCTCTTTTACTTTTTTTTGATCTTCAAGAGAATGCTGGTAGGCCACTGAGTAACAGTGCATGTGGTGTATATTAGTATACTGTTGGTAATTTTACTGCTGCTAACTTAAAATCCTCAAGGGGGAGTTAATTACAGGAAAACCTTTCTAAATATCAGCTGCATATTTTCCATGACAAGGTTTTCAACTCACATTGAACAACTCCAGAATCTGAGTTATCATTATTTACATGAGCACATTTTAGAAGAAAGTAAAATTTGTGATTTTACAATGCAGTTAAAGCTTTACAGTAATTTATTTTTTAAAGGCTTAGTTACAAGTGGCAGTTATTGGTTGGGGAGAAAGGATCATGCATAAATTGCATTATATTTTCTATGGCAAGTTAAATTTCCTTTTCTTTGTGTTTTTTGTTTGGTTGGTTTGGTTTTGGTTTTTGGGCGGCATATTTTTGTTGTTTGGATTTTTTAAGCTCAAGGCCTAAACCAAACCCAGGGTATTTGGTGGTTTGGGTTGGTTTGTTTGTTTGTTTGTTTGTGTTTCTTTTTTAGTTTTCACTTAATTGAAAAGTTTATTATTTGCAATTTCTGTGCATATATTTACTTAAACAATTTAAACTTTATATATTGCCACTGGGGAATGGCCGCCTTCTGTAAATGTTTGCAGATTAACATATTTTTAAAGTAAGCCAGGGGAACTTCAAGTACGGCAGCAATCAGAGAAAGCAACGAGTAGCGTGTTGAAGTTAGTTGGTCCTGATGTGTTTGGTGAATGTTTTTCAAAGACGGCTGGGCCACGGGCATTCTCAGTCTATTTTTGAGGAAATAGCATTTTTGTTTTCAGCTTAAAAAAAAATAATCCCCAAACAACACCTACGCTGCTGGGTTTTGGCTTTTACCACAGCAAGTGGCAACTTACGTGTAGAGGGAGCGATCGCCTCTTCACCCCCCCC